CCCTTTGCCTCCGGCTTCCCAGAGTAAAAAATAACTTGCTGTTCCCGGAAGTACGTGCATACTGCAGGAAGGACATGGAATATTAGTCAAGGCTCCCTTTGTTCTGCAACTGCGGTAAAAAATGTAGCTGCCTCTCTCTCCAGCTCCGCTCCCTTCTCTCCCATCACCACCTCTTGTCTCCTCTCATTCAGAATAACTGGGAGAGCTTGTACTGGAATTCCAGTTTTTCCTAAAGTGTGGAAAACTCGTCCCTGCTGGTATGGCAAACGATCTTCACTGGGAAACAGCCAGACTTCTAAGGAATCGTAATTGTTATGTATGTCTTTCTACAGTCCTGTTTTTGGCAGGACATACCGGGCTTCCAGTTATTACAACAATCAAATATTTCCCTCATAATTATATTTAAATTTAAAACGTGAGTTGATTTTAAGAAAAATGTTAACCGGTTAACAACTCCGGTGGTGTGGAGATACGGCCAGAATCACGAACAAGGATGTAAAGGGCTCGAGCGTGGGAAATACTCATCTTAGTTCAGAGCCCAGTACACCATCTCTTAAGAAGGGCTGTGCGAATACCGGCAAATTTTTTGGAAGAGCCCCGTCGGTGAGTCTAAGGGCTGGCTCTAGGCCGGCCCAGGAGCTGGAAGGACAGGAGCCTTGGCTGTGCCATTCCCCCTGGGGGCCTGCGTGAGCCTCCTGGCTCTAGGCCGAGTTCCCCTTTTCTGCAATTGAGGAGGTTGCTGCCCTTCCAGCCGGCGCCTTCTCCTTCTTTCACCCTCCTGCCAGCTCTGGAGCTTAGACCAGGAGACAGTGTAAGGGGAAACGATTTCATGTTTCACCTGCACACTCGCTTCCTTATCAAATACTCCTTGCGCCCCTCTGTGCACCGGGCACCTCTGCTCTCTCTAGGAAAGTCGTTACTTAAGGCCGTCTTGTCTCGGCCACCAAAGCCCAGGGCGCCACCTGCTGTCCCCATGGAGCCAGTGCAGCCTCCGATTTCGAGCCCCCTTCACCCGGAGGGAGAGGATGAGAATCCCCGGGAAATCCGGGGACGCAGGTCTTTTGCGAGCAGTTGGCAAGGCCGAAAGGGGATGCAAAGTAAATGGATGTGGGCAATTGGAAGAAAAGCCTCCCACGGATGGAAGGGCCCGGAGAGAACCGAAGGAAAGTGGGCAGCCGCCGCCGCCGCGTCTCGCCGTGCTTTTCTCTGGGATAAACGCTTACCACTGGCACCTCCAGGCGACCAAGGGGTCTGCTCCCCACCGCATCCCCGGGTGTGGAGAGAGCAGCTGGGGAGCTGCATCAGAATCTCAATAAATGGATGATGAATGAATTTAATTGGGACAGTGCATTCTTTTTTGCTGCTTTAAGTGGAGAGGAAGGCGATGCAAGATTCAAGGTACAGAAAAGGCACCTCCTCCCCCCGCCGCCCCGCAACACACACGGAAATTGCTCCCCAAAGCTCTCTTTCTCAGCAGTCTCAGCGAGGAGGCGGGAACTCCTCTGAGTCCAGAATGACATCTCCATGTCCGTCCGCCTGGGCCTGCCACCTCCCGCCCCCACCGCCAGTGCCCGCCCTCCTTCGCCTGGTGGACGCTTGCGCAAACAGCTCAAAGTCCAGGTAGGTTTTGCAGCTGGAGGCCGGGGTGCAACCAGGAGCACAGGCTCTCCACCTTAGGTGTTCTCTCGCTTTGGTCTGAGTTGGTGGTGGGGAGGGGGGGGTGTTAGAATCGGAGTACTCTGGTCTCACCAGTAGATTCTGGGGCAGTAGGTTTGGAGTGGAGTCCTGGGAGGCAGTCTCCCCCGCCCCTCCCCACCGCGATTCTTGTCCTTCAAAGGTTGCACACCACTGCACTGGCCTGAAAGGCACTCCTTTGTCCAGGCTTCTTCCAGGCGCAGTGAAAAAATAATTGATTGTGGATGGGGAACTTACTTCCTGCGAGGTACTGCACCTGGGCTTCATGAGAATTCTCATTTAATGCTCACCACTGCCCTTTGAGGGGGCACCGTCTTTCTGTACATTTTAAAGAAAGGGGAGACTAAGGCTTAGAGGATTACTTGACTTGCCCCAGTCCAGTAAATGGCAGGGACAGGATTGGAATTCAATTCATTCTGATTTCAAAGCACTTTTTCCCTAACTTTTCCCAGTACAACAATTCTCTTTTTTCACATTATTTTGGTATAACGATTTTAGAGTTAATTTTTAAAATAGGCAATACAGGTATGTGGTTCAAAAATTTTTCAAAGTACTAAAACATATTCAGTACCATTGCAAAGCAATGTGAATACACTTAACATTCCTGACAACTGCGCTTGAAAATTTAAAGATGGTGACTTTTATGTTATGTGTTTTTTTTTTTAACCACAATTTTTAAAAAGAGGCGTTCAGTAGGAGGATTCTTTCTTGCCTTTGTCCCCTGTCTGTCTGGTGACCCCTCACCATGGGTAACCATCGCTATTAGTTTTATATGGATCTTTCCTTTTTAAAGTACACACGAATACATACAAATACATCCCCCCCCCTTCCTTTTTTGCACAAAGAGTAACAAACTGTCCATACCAACCTGCATCTTGTTATTGTCATAGGACACTATATCTTGGAGATCTTTCTATATCAGAACTTCAAGAGCCCCTCATTCCTTTTTAAAATTAATTAATAATTAAAAATTTTAAATTGAGGTATAATCAACGTAACATTATATTAGTTTCAGGTGTACAACCTAATGATTCAACATCTTATACCTTAACTACAATAAGTCTAGTTAACAGAAACTTTTTCTTGTGATGATGACTTTTAATATCTATTAGCAACTTTCAAATATTCAGTACAGTATTATTAACTAGAGTCGCCATGCTGTACATTACATCCCCATGACATCTCTTTTCTAACTGGAAGTTTGTACCTTTTAACCCCCTTTGCCCATATTCTCCATCCTCCCACCCCCTCCTCTGTAGCTATGGGTGTGGTTTTCGTTTGCTTGTTTTTTACATCTCACATATAAGTGAGATCATATGGTATTTGTCTTTCTCTGACTTGCTTCGCCTAGCATAATACCCTCAAGGTCCACCCATGTTGTTGCACATGGCAGGATTTCCTTCTTTTTTCTTTTTTAATGATTGAATGGTATTCCATTGTGTATATACATATACATCACATCTCCTTTATCCATTCACCCATGGATACTTAAGTTGTTTCCACATCTCGGCTATTGTAAATAATGCCGCAGCTCATTGCTTCTGTTAGCTGCTAGGGTAGCTTATTGTACAGAGACCATAGTTTCTGCTCACCACTCCCCTGCTGATGGGCCTGAAGATGTTTTCCAGTCTCTTGAAGACATGTTGGTAACTAGCACCCAGAGGAGCCCGTTCAACTTACCTAGAGTTTAAACCATGACCTCAAAACAAAATGTATGGCTTAGACTCACCCTTGAAAACCGACAGCCCCATGTTCAAGACTCGGCCCCTTGCCTCAGTAAATCCCAGGCTGTTTTTCCTCCAGTGCTGGAATGGATAACGTGCCATATGGAGTAGCAGGTGTGCATTTAGGGGCCTTGGGGTCCAAATCAAGTGTCTTTACACACTGCAGTCACCCACGTTGTGGTCAGCTCACACCGTGAGAGACTGTTGGCATACAGGGCCCAGCAGATTCACAGCCCCCATCTCATGCCCTCTCTGGGCTTGTTGGGTGGAGTGGTGGGTGGAGTCACTCAAGATATTAAACTTCTTTTGGGGGGTAGGTGGGAAGATGCATACAAATGAATTAATGTAAGTTGCACAAGAGGGTGCTGGGGTGCCACCTCTTGCTGTGCTGCATGGTAGTGGTCACTCTCCATGGGTGCTCTGATGGCTCTTCCATTAGCACTTTCTCCCACTGTCCCTCATTAAACCGTGAGCTCCTGAAAACCCAAAGTGGAGACCTCGTTGTTCCTTGCCATTCTCACAGCCTTGAAAGTATGACTGGGGCACAGGCAACGCTGGGTGTTGACCACGTGCCAGGGGCCTGCTCAGCACCTTATTCAATTGCCTCACTTAATCCTGGTAACAACTCCCTGAAGTAGGTGCTATTGTTATTCGCAGTTTTGAGATGAAGAAAATGAGGCACAGAGAGGTCAGGCCACCTGTCAAAGTCACACAGCTCCTAAGTGGCAGAGTTGAGATTGTGAGTCTGGGAGGTTTGGCTCCAGAATCTGTCCTCTTCACTGCTCTGCTGCCTCCGTGACCTTTCCTCTTTGTCCTGGAAAGTGAGGGAGGAAAGCTGGATCGTGTTTACTTTAATACTTGCTTTAGCAAAAGTGTATTGTGAGCCTGGGCTCTGTTACTAATTAGCTGTTTTGACCTTGAGACAGTTAGTTAATGTTTTTGTTTCTCATCCATAAAGCAGGGACAATAGTACTGAGTGCATGTGGCTATCGTGAGGGTTCAGTGAATTAGGACATATGAGGAGCTTACACAGAGTAAGCATTCAAAGAGTGTATGCTGCTAGGCAATGGGCCAGGTCCTTTAGGCTCTTGGTACTCAAGGCAGCATGGGCATCACCTGAGAGCTTGTTAGAAACGCAGAATCCCAGGCCCCTCCCCAGACCAGCTGAATCAGAATCTGCATTTTAGCAAGGTCCCTAGGTGATTTGCAAGTGCATTAAAGTCTGAGAGAGCTCTGCTCTGTAGCAATGACTTTCAATCCCCCTTCTCCCTCAGAATCCCAGGCCTGACTCCTGAAACCCTGCATGGCGTGCGGGGGTGAGGCTGGACCATCCAGTTTTATCAGCTCCTTCAGCCTCTTCTGAAGGTTGGGGACCAGCCAGGCTTGGGAACCCAGCTCTAAGAGCCAGCAGAGGTGAGTGAATGAAGCAGTTTCTGCACTTTTTTTTCTTTTCTTTTTTTTTTTTGTGGTACGTGGGCCTCTCATTGTTGTGGCCTCTCCTGTTGCGGAGCACAGGCTCCGGACGCGCAGGCCCAGCAGCCATGGCTCACGGGCCCAGCCGCTCCGAGGCATGTGGGATCCTCCCGGACTGGGGCACGAACCCGTGTCCCCTGCATCGGCAGGTGGACTCTCAACCACTGCACCACAAGGGAAGCCCAGTTTCTGCACTTTTGATGTGACAGGGTAGACACTCTTTTGGCTGTAGTGCCCAAACTTTTTAATCTTTTTCTGGGTCTGTCTTTCATCCTTGCCCAACCTGGAATTTTGAGAAATGAAGCTTTAGTGACTCACGCAAGAAAGGAGGTCAGAGACAAGAGTGCCACCCTGTGGCAAGAGCCTGGCATTACCATCCAGAAAGCCGCTGGTGAGGATAAGAACTGAGTGACTTCTGTCTGTGGTAACAGGATGTTGATAGCTACATCCTACTGAGCCTTTCTTATATGTCGGGCACTGTGCCAAGTCTTCCTCATAGATTAGTTTATTTGAAGCAGGTACTATTGTTACCCCCATGTTGCAGAGGTAGAGAGGGATGAGGTGATTTGATCAGGCTCCCTCAGAGGTGAAGGCTGGAGCTGGGAGGGAACTCAGGGCAGCCTGGCTCTAGAGCAAACAATTATAACAGTTTTGATATATTTCCTCTGTAGCAAAAGAAGGAGGCCTTTCTGGTATGGACCCCCAAATTTTCGACTATTTTTAGACCTGTGCTATTTTGTTTACTGGAGCCGGGCAGTCAGAGACCTGGGTTCTGGCATGAGCGCCCCTCTCTTCTACCCAGGGAGTTGCAGGTAAGTCATTCACCTAATCTTTCTGAGTTTGTAGAAGAGGGGGTAATACTATTTGAGCTGTTTACATTATAGCATCTCTGCATGCTCTGCAAGAAGGCAGCATCTACAAGCCAAGGAGAGAGACCTCTGGAGAAATCAACGCTGCCAACAACTTGATCTCAGACTGACAGACTCCAGAACTGTGAGGAAATACATTTCTGTTGTTTAAGCCTTCCAGTCTGTGGTAATTTGTTGTGGCAGCCCTAGCAGACTAATATAAGCCCCCAAAAGCAATAACCTCAATCCAGACAGAGCATATGCAGTGGAAGCTCTGTTTAAAAAATGGGGTCTCCCTATGGAGAACAGTATGGAGGTTCCTTAAAAAACTAAAAATAGAACTACCATATGATCTAGCAATCCCACTCTGGGCATACATACAGAGAAAACTATGATTTGAAAAGATGCACGCACCCCAATGTTCATTGAAGCACTATTTACAACAACCAAGACATGGAAGCAACCCAAGTGTCCATCAACAGATGAATGGTTAAAGAAGATGTAGTATATATGTGCAATGGAATATTACTCAGACATAAAAAAGAATGAAATAATGTTATTTTGCAGGAACATGGATGGACCTAGAGATTATCATACTAAGTGAAGTAAACCAGACAGAGAAAGATAAATATCATATGATATAGCTTATATGTGAAATCTAAAAAAAGTGATACAGATGAACTTACTTACAAAACAGAAATAGACTTACAGACATAGAAGACAAACTTATGGTTACCAAAGGGGAAAAGGCAGGAAGGGATAAATTAGGAGTTTGGGATTAACATATACACACTACTATATGTAAAATAGATAACCAACAAGGACCTACTGTATACTGAATATTTTGTAATAACCTATAAGGGAAAAGAATCTGAAAAAAAATGATATATATGTGTGTATAACTGAATCATTTTGCTGTACAATTGAAACTAACACAACATTGTAAATCAACTATACTTCAATAAAAAAATTAAAATTAAAAATAAAAAGGGGGTTTGGGTTGACTAGTGTTACTATCATGTTGAGGCCTGGTCTTGGGTCACAGTGGTGACTTCAGGTGGTGTTTCCCAGAGTGTGGTATGTGGAACATGGTGGTACATGAAATGATGTTAGAGGTTATATGGATGAATGTAATTCTATATATATAATTTTTTAAATTAGGAAAATATTAACATATCATACTCATGACTTCATGGTTATTATTGTTTAGAGTGAGCTAAGTTAAAAAATAATAAACTGAGGCTTCCCTGGTGGTGCAGTGGTTGAGAGTCTGCCTGTCAATGCAGGGGACATGGGTTCGTGCCCCAGTCCGGGAAGATCCCACACACCGCGGAGCGGCTGGGCCCGTGAGCCATGGCCGCTCAGCCTGTGCGTCCGGAGCCTGTGCTTCGCAACGGGAGAGGCCACAGCAGTTAGAGGCCCGTGTACCACAAAAACAAACAAAAAAAAAACCCAAAAAAACAAAAAAAAAACTGATTTGAAGTTGATTTAAAGAAAATTAGATTAGTTGGGTGATAAGTGAATATAACAATGTTGGCAGAATAATGAAGGTATATTCACATGACTGCCATTGGGGGAAATGCTGAGCTGAGGACTGACTGTATTTCTGGGAAGATGGCTGTGTGTTGTGAAAGGCTGCTGCCGTGTGCATTCCCCCACAAAGTGCTACACCTCTGTTTATGGATCTGAATGAGCTTGAATTTTAAAATGATTCAGTACAACATAGCTGCTCCAAACTGCTAAGTCCACCATAGATTGAATTACACAGAAAAGAGGGAACGGAGCTGGGGAAAAGGACTTGGACTGTAAGAAAGGGAATTCCGACTTCCCTGGTGGTGCAGTGGTTAAGAATCCACCTGCCAGCTAACACATATCCTTCTCAAACTCTTCCAAAATATAGCAGAGGGAGGAACACTCCCAAACTCATTCTACAAGGCCACCATCACCCTGATACCAAAACCAGACAAAGATGTCACAAAGAAAGAAAATTACAGACCAGTATCATTGATGAACATAGATGCAAAATTCCTCAACAAAATACTAGCAAACAGAATCCAACAGCACATTAAAAGGATCATACACCATGATCAAGTGGGGTTTATTGCAGGAATGCAAGGATTCTTCAATATATGCAAATCAATCAATGTGATAAACCATGTTAACAAATTGAAGGAGAAAAACCATATGATCATTTCAATAGATGCAGAAAAAGCTTTCAACACAATTCAACACCCATTTATGATAGAAACTCTCCAGAAAGTAGGCATAAAGGGAAATTTCCTCAACATAATAAAGGCCATATATGACAAACCCACAGCCAACATCATTCTCAATGGTGAAAAACTGAAACCATTTCCACTAAGATCAGGAACAAGACAAGGTTGCCCACTCTCATCACTCTTATTCAACATAGTTTTGGAAGTTTTAGCCACAGCAATCAGAGAAGAAAAAGAAATAAAAGGAATCCAAATCAGAAAAGAAGTAAAACTGTCACTATTTGCAGATGACATGATACTATACATAGAGAGTCTCAAAGATGCTACCAGAAAACTACTAGAGTGAATCAATGAATTTGGTAAAGCAGCAGGATATAAAGTTAATGCACAGAAATCTCTTGCATACACTAATAATGAAAAACCTGAAAGTGAAATTAAGGAAACACTCCCATTTACCATTGCAACAAAAAGAATAAAATACCTAGGAATAAACCTACCTAAGGAGACAAAAGACCCGTATGCAGAAAACTATAAGGCACTGATGAAAGAAAGTAAAGATGATAACAAACAGATGGAGGGAAATACCATGTTTTTGGATTGGAAGAATCAACATTGTGAAAATGACTATACTACCCAAAGCAATCTACAGATTCAATGCAACCCCTATCAAACTACCAATGACATTTTTCACAGAACTATAACAAGAAATTTCACAATTTGTATGGAAACATAAAAGACCCTGATGAGCCAAAGCAATCTTTAGAAAGAAAAATGGAGCTGGAGGAATCAGGCTTCCAGACTTCAGACTATACTACAAAGCTACAGTAATCAAGACAGTATGGTACTGGCACAAAAACAGAAACATAGATCTATGGAACAGGATAGAAAGCCCAGAGATAAACCCATGCACATATGGTCACCTTATCTTTGATAAAGGAGGCAAGAATATACAGTGGAGAAAAGACAGCCTCTTTAATAAGTGGTGCTGGGAAAACTGGACAGCTACATGTAAAAGAATGAAATTAGAACACTCCCTAACACCATACACAAAAATAAACTCAAAATGGATTAAAGACCTAAATGTAAGAAATGGAAATAAAAACAAAAATAAACAGATGGGACCTAGTGAAACTTAAAAGCTTTTGCACAGAAAAGCAAACCATAAACAAGAGGAAAAGACAACCCTCAGAATGGGAGAAAATATTTGCAAATGGAGCAACTGACAAAGGATTAATCTCCAAAATACACAGGGAGCTCATGCAGCTCAATATCAAAAAAGAACAAAAAACCCAATCCAAAAATGGGCAGAAGATCTAAATAGACATTTCTCCAAAGAAGATATACAGATTGACAACAAACACATGAAAGGATGCTCAATATCACTAATCATTAGAGAAATGTAAATGAAAACTACAATGAGGTATCACCTCACACCAGTCAGAGTGGCCATCATCAAAAAATCTACAGACAATAAATGCTGGAGAGGGTGTGGAGAAAAGGGGACCCTGTTGCACTGTTGGTGGGAATGTGAATTGATACAGCCACTATGGAGGTTCCTTAAAAAACTAAAAATAGAACTACCATAAGACCCAGCAATCCCACTACTGGGCATATACCCTGAGAAAACCATAATTCAAAAGAGTCATGTACCACAATGTTTTTGCAGCTCTATTTACAGTAGCCAGGACATGGAAGCAACCTAAGTGTCTATAGACAGATGAATGGATAAAGAAGATGTGGCACGTATATACAGTGGAATATTACTCAGCCATAAAAAGAAACGAAATTGAGTTATTTGTAGTGAGGTGGATGGACCTAGAGACTCATACAGAGTGAAATAAGTCAGAAAGAGAAAAACAAATACCATATGCTAACATATGTATATAGAATCTAAAAAAAAAAAAGAAAAAAAAAAGGTTCTGAAGAGCCTAGGGGCAGGAAAGGAACAAAGATGCAGAGGTAGAGAATGGACTTGAGGACACGGGGAGGGGGAAGTGTAAGCTGGGACGAAGTGAGAGAGTGGCATGGACATATATACACTACCAAATGTAAACTAGACAGCTAGTGGGAAGCAGCTGCATAGCACAGGGAGATCAGCTATGTGCTTTGTGATCACCTAGAGGGGTGGGATAGGGAGGGTTGGGGGGAGACGCAAGAGGGAGGAGATATGGGGATATATGTATATGCATAGCTGATTCACTTTGTTATACAGCAGAAACTAACACACCATTGTAAAGCAATTATACTCCAATAAAGATGTTTAAAAAAATAAAAAAATAAAAATAAACCTTAAAAAGAAAAAAGGAATCTGCCTGCCAATGCAGAGGACATGGGTTCGATCCCTAGCCCAGGAAGATCCTACATGCTGCGGAGCAGCTAAGCCCGTGTGCCTTAACTACTGATCCTGTGCTCTATAGCCCATGAGCCTCAACTACTGAAGCCCATATGCTTAGAGCCCATGCTGTACAACAGGAGAAGCCACCGCAATGAGAAGTTTGTGCACCGCAAGGAAGAGTAGTCCTGGCTCGCCACAACTAGAGAAAGCCCATGCACTGCAACGAAGACCCAACGCAGCCAAAGATATAAATAAACAAACAAACAAACAAATAAATAAATAAATAAAAGGGAATTCCTATGGAATAAGGTGCCTGCTCCATGTTCAGCACACACATCGAGAGAAGGGAAAACTGTCCTGTCAAGATCCGTTGAGGAAATGAGAGAAGAGAGAAAATGCAGGAGGAGTGGGGCAAAATGCCAGTCGCTTACAATTGCTTAGCCCTTAGCAATTGGCAAAGGGCTTACAGGCCTGTTTTCTTGACTGGATTCAATGATATTCTGTAGTCAAGCTGGGTGGGACATGGGGAACTCTTAAACACTGTGTTCTCCTGCACCTCCCTTCCCAGTCCCCTTGGCCTGGCTCCTGCTTCATCACTCCAGCAAGCAGACCCCTCAAAGTCACCAGGGCTCTTGATGATCACCCCAGTTTTGCAGACAAGGAGCCAAGGGCCACCAAAGTGAAGCCACTTCCTTGACTAAGGCTGTCCAGCTGGTATGGGGCAAAGCTGAGGAGCTTTTTGTTCCTCACTCTAGGGCTTGTTACGACCTAGTATTTCCCTTTCTTTACCTGTTTGCAGGACTGTTTTATGGATGTGACACTACTCTGTCTGGGCAGCTTAAGAGTATAAATCTGGGCCTCAGTGGGAGAAGATGTCAGCAGAGGGTGGAGCTGGTAGGAGAGGGTAAGGCCAGAGGCAAGTTTCAGCTCTGTTATCTCACCAAGAAAATTCTCCTGACTTCCTTGTTTCAGTGGTGTCATGCTTAAAGTCTCCAGGCCTGAGATTTTTGAAAAACAATTTTACTGAGGTATAATATACGTACAATAACATGCATCCCCTTTTTGTGTGCAGTTCCACGAGTGTTGATAAATGTTTGCATCCAGGTGTCCACTGCCACCACATTCAAATATAGAACAGTGCTGTCACTCCACGCTTCCTTGTACCCACGGACCTCTGTTCTGCCACGAAAGATTAGATTTGCCATTTCTAGAGCTTCCTGTAAATAGAAACATGCAGTAAGTATTCTTTCATGTCCGGCTCTCTCAGCATGTTTTGAGACTCATCCAAGTCATGTGTATTAATTTTTTTTCTGACTAGTTTCCATTGAATGTATATACCCTAATTTTTTCATTCATTTATCTCTTGGTGGACATTTGAGTTGTTTCCAGTTTTTGTCTAATATGAGTGAAGCTGCCATGAACATTCCTTAAGATTTTGTGTGGATGTATACTTCCATTTCTCTTAGGTAGATACCTAGGAGTGGGATTGCTGAGTCATACTATAATGGGTAGCCTTTAAAAGGAAAATGCCAAATTATTTTTCAAAGCGATTTTGCCATTTTACATTCCCTTTAGCAATGTATAAGGGTCTTGGGTTGGGTTGCTCCGTGTCTATACCAATGCTTGATAATATCGGTCTTTTGATTTTTTCTTTTAAACCGGACTGTTTTCTTATTTTTAGCACTGTGGGTTTTTTGTTGTTGTTTTGGTTTGGTTTTGTTGTTTTTTTAAAAATATTTATTTATTTATTTATATTTTTGGCTGCATCAGGTCTTAGTTGCAGCACGCAGGATCTTTTGTTGCGGTTTTCGGGCTTCTCTCTAGTTGTGGTGTGTGGGCTCCAGGGCATGTGGGCTCCGTAGTTGTAGCACATGGGCTCCAGAGTGCATGGGCTCTGTAGTTGCAGCACTCAGGCTCTCTAGTTGTGGCATGTGGGCTCAGTAGTTGTGGTGTGCGGACTTAGTTGCCCCACGGCCTGTGGGATCTTAATTCCCCACCCAGGGTTTGAACCCGTGTCCCCTGTATTGGAAGGTGGATTCTTAACCACTGGACCACCAGGGAAGTCCCAATGTTGGTCTTTTTAATATTAGCTATTTTATCGAGTGTGCAGTGGCATTTCTTCATTTTGATTTTAATTTGGACTTTCTTGATGACTAATGATGTTGAGTATCTTTTCATGGACTTATTGGCCATTTATGTAAGTCTTCTTTTGCTAAGTGTCTACTCACATTTTTTGCTCATTTTTTATTGGGCATTGTCTTATTATTGAGTTGTAAGAGTTGTTTTTGAAAAAATTTATCTGGACACCAATCCTTTTTCAACTATATGTGTTATATTTTCTCCCCCTCTGTGGCTTGCTCTTTCATCTTTTAAAATGATATCTTTAGGAGAGCAGGAGTTAAATTTAGTTTTTCTTCTGCCAAGTGGATTTTCAAGATTTAATTTTCAAAATTTATTTTGGTGCTGAGAAGTGGGAAGGCTATTTATTTGTTCACATAACATGCCTTAGTCCCCAGTGTTCCTCTGGCCAAGCACACTGCATGGGAGGAATCCATCTGTCTCCCTGACTTGCTCCCAGTCAGTAATACCAGCTAGGAAGTGCCTTGGCCCTGACATCTCAGCTGGAGGCTGCCAAGCAGAGGGGCCAGAGCTAAATCCCAGGTAAGCCGGGTAGGCTTCTGTCCTTGCTGGGGCCCTACCTTTGCAACATCTGACGCTGTGAATCTAAATACAAATATCCTCTTTTTTTCTCTGTAGCACTTATGTTGGCTTGTAATCTTATCTTGGTGGGTTCATTTATCTGTCTTTCCCACTTGACTGTCTCTGAGGACAGGGACCTTGTCTGTTTTTATGTCCAAGAATTTGCAGAATATTAGTGGCTTTCAGAGCCCTACTTGCCCAGCACTGTGGGAAGAAGGCAGACAGTTCCCATTCTCAGGGTCCACAAGGAGTTCTAACTTGTGGCTGAGAAGTGTCCCTCATGGTTCTCCATCCCTAGACCAGGGCAAAAGTGCTTGTGGCCTATGGGCAGGAGGCTGGGAGAATCCCACCTCTCAGCCATGTGCCTGGGGTCCTCACCTTAGGAAACACTTGTTTTCATCTTTACCCTCTTCCCCCTGTGGATCCCCTACTGGTCTGTTAGGTGATGAAGGGTCTCATCACACTATTTGCTCCTTCCTCCTGTCTTCTGTCCCCTCTCTTCTTTCTATCTTTCTTCTGGGGTCCTTTCCTGCCCCCTCCTCCTCCCCACTTCCCTCTTTCCAGCTGTAAGATGTGAGGAAGACCTCAAAGACTCACCAGGAGACAAATTCAACTGTAAGGACAATAAACATAAACATGGATAACTATACAAATTCCAAAAGTATCTTTATTGTTTTCAAAGCAACCTATTAAATAGCAGTTCTTGCGTGCATTATAAACTTCCTTAAAATTCATTGCCATCTATTACAGTGCATGTGTCAGCTTCAAATTTCACCTCAAATGCCCAGGGCTGAGACTTAGGCTTTCTGGGTGGGTTAACCTCCAGTAACCCCAAAGAGCTTAAGGTATGGGAAGTGAAGGCACATCTAAGGAGTTTTTACATAATCCTGGAGGAGTTTTTAATTTTGATGAAATCCAACTTTATCATATTTTTTCTTTTATGATTTGTGCTTTTTGTATCCTATTGGAAAAAATTTTGCCTACTCTTACTTCAAAATAGTCTATGATTTCTTTGAGAGCTAACGATTACATTTAGGCCTATGATTCATTTCAGGTTAATCTTTGTGAATGCCATGAAGTTGCCTTTTCATTTTGCTGATTTATTCTTTTGCTTACAGAGGCTTTTTAGTTTGATGTAGTCTCACTTGTTTATTTTTGCTTTTGTTGGCTGTGCTTTTGGTGCCATACGAAGAAATCATTGACAAGACCAATATCAAGGAGATTTTCCCCTGTATTCTTCTGGGAGTTTTATGGGTTCAGGTCTTACAGTTAAGTCTTTAAACTATTTTGAGTTAATTTTTATGTATGGTATAATATAAGGGTCCAATTTCATTCTTTTGAATGTGGATATCTAGTTTCTTAACACCATTTATTGCATAGACTATCTTTTCCCCATTGTTAATTTTGGCTCCTTTGTCATAAATTAGTTGACCATATATGCATGCGTTTATTTCTGGACTCTCTATTCCACTGATTTATGTGTCTGTTTTTATGCTAGTACCATACTCTTGATTAGTATAGCTTTGTAATATAGTTTGAAAGCAGGAAATTGGATACCACCAGCTTTGTTCTTCTTTCTCTAGATGGCTTTGGCTATTCAGGGTCTTCTGTGGTTTCATTTCAATTTTAGGATTTTTTTTCTGTGAAAAATACCCTTGGAATTTTGATAGGGATTGCATTGAATCTGTAGATTGCTTTGGGTAGTATGGACATTTTAACAACATTTTAATTCTTCCAATTCATGAGCATGGAATATTTTTCTATTTATTGTGTCTTCAGTTTCTTTCATTAATGTCCTATACTTTTCAGTGTACAAGTCTTTTTTTTTTTTTTTTTTTTTTTTTTTGCGATATGTGGCCCTCTCACTGCTGTGGCCTCTCCCGTTGCGGAGCACAGGCTCCGGACGCACAGGCTCAGCGGCCATTGCTCACAGGCCCAGCCGCTCCGCGGCATGTGGGATCCTCCCGGACTAGGGCACAAACCCGCGTCCCCTGCATTGGCAGGCAGACTCTCAACCGCTGCACCACCAGGGAAGCCCAGTGTACAAGTCTTTCACCTCCTTGATTAAATTTATTCCTATAAATTTATTCTTTTGATGAAATTATAAATGAGATTGTTTTCTTAATTTATCTTTCTAATAGTTTGTAGTTAGTATATAGAAATACAACTGATTTTTTTTTGTGGTACGCGAGCCTCTCACTGTTGTGGCCTCTCCCATTGTGGAGCACAGGCTCTGGACGCGCAGGCTCAGCGGCCATGGCTCACGGGCCCAGCCGCTCCGCGACATGTGGGATCTTCCCGGACTGGGGCACGAACCCGTGTCCCCTGCATCGGCAGGTGGACTCTCAACCACTGTGCCACCAGGGAAGCCCACAACTGAGTTTTGTATATTGATTTTGTATCCTGCAACTTTACTGAATTCTTTTATTAGTTCTAACAAATTTTTTGGTGGAGTCATTAGGGTTTTCTATGTCATATCATCTGCAAATAGAGACAGTTTTATTTCCTCCTTTTTGATTTTAATGACTTTTATTTCTTTTTCTAGCCTAACTGTTCTGGCTAGGACTTCCAGTACTATGTTGAATAAAAGTGGTGAGAGTGGACATCTCCATCTTGTTCTTGATTTTAGAGGTAACAATTTCAACATTGATTTGCCCTTTGATCTTACCTCTCTTATGGATCCAAAAAGAGTTGTTAATTTTTCAGTCTATTCAGCTCCTTTCTTATGGAATTGGACACTGGAAATCTCCTTTCCCCAATTTTTAATGGGATATTTTGTTGTTGAGTTGTAGTTCTTTATATGTTCTGGATACTAACCACTTATAAGGTATATGATTTGCAAATATTTTCTCTCATTCCATGAGTTGCTTTTTCACTCTGTTGATAGTGCCCTTTGAGGCACAAAATTTTTAATTTTGATGAAGTCCAACTTATCTATTTTTTCTTTTATTGTCAGTACTTTTGGTGTCATATCCATAAATCACTGCCAAATGTCATGAAGTTTTACCCTTATGTTTTCTAAGAAGGGTTTTATGATTTTAGCTCTTATGTTTAGGTTTGATCCACTTTGAGTTCATTTTTGTCTATGGTATAAAGTAAGGGTCAATTTTTGTTCACTTGCATGTGGATGTTCATATTTCCCAGGACTGTTTGTTGAAGAGACTGTTCATTCCCCATTGTGTAGTCCTGGCTCCCTTTTTGACTCATTTGACCACATAAGTGAGGGTTTATTTCTGGGCTCTCTATTATATTCCATTGGTCTGCCATTATGCTGGTAATACAGTTTTGATTACTGTAGCTGTAATATATTTTGAAATCAGGAAGTATAAGACCTCTAAGTTTGTTCTTTTTTCAAAGATTGTTTTGACTACTTGGGGTTCCTTGAAACTTTGGATGGACTTTTCTATTTTTGCAAAAAGGTTGTTAGGATTTTGATAGAGATTGCATTGAATCTCTAGATTTCTTTGGGTAGTATGGATATTTGAAAAGTATTAAGTTTTCCAGTCTATGAATATGCATTTTCATTTGTTTGTATATTCTTTAATTTCTTACCACAGTGTTCTGTAGTTTTCAGTGTACAAGTCTTCACCTTCTTGGTTAAGTTTATTTCTAAGTATTTTATTCTTTTTGGTGCTGTTGTAAATGGGACTGTTTTCTTAATTTTCCTTTTATATTGTCCACTGTTAGTGTATAAAGATGCAACTAATTTTGTGTATTGATTTTGTAACCTGCAACTTTGCTGAATTTGTGTATAAGTTCAAACAGTTTTTTTTTGTGGAATTTTTAGGGTTTTCCACGTATAAGGTTATATCATCTGTGAACAGAGATAATTTTACTTCTTCCTTCCTAATTTGGATACCTTGCATTTCTTTTCCTTATGTGATTGCTCTGGCTAGAATTTCCAACACTATGCTAAATAGAAGTTATGAAAGTTATCTTTGTTTTGTTTCTGATCTTAGAAGAAAAGCTTTTCAACTTTAACCATTGAATATGATGTTAGCTGTAGTTTTTTCATATATGATTTTTCTGATGTTGAGGTAGTTTCCTTCTATTCTGAGTTTATTGAATTCATTTTTTTTAATCATGAAAGGGTATGGATTTGCCAAATGCTTTATCTGTCTCTATTGAGGGGATCATGTGATTTTTTTCTCACTTCATTCTCTTAATGTAGTGTATCATATTGTTTTTCATATGTTGAACCATCCTAGCGTTCAAGGAATAAATCCCACTTGGTCATGTTTTGTAATCATTTTAACATGCTGATGAATTTGGTTTGCTAGTATTTTGTTGAGGATTTTTATACCAATATTTATAAACAATACTGGTCTGTGTATATATATATATATATATATATATATATATATATATATATACACACACACACATATATGGTAGTATCTTTGTGTGGCTTTGGTATCATGGTAATGCTGAGCTTGTAGAATGATTGAGGAAGCATTCCCTTCTCTTCAATTTTTTGGAAGAATTTGAGAAGGATTGGTGTTAGTTCTTTAAATGTTTCATAGAATTAAAGCCATTTGGTTCACGGCTTTTCTTTGTTGAGAAGTTTTAACTTACAGAATTAAACTTCCTTAGTAAGTGTAGATCTGTTCAGATTTTCTACTTCTCTATTACTCAGTTTTGGTAGGGTGTGTGTTTCTAGGAATTTGTCCATTACATTTAGGTTATCCAATTATTTTGGTATACAATTTTTCATACTACTCTTTTATGGTCCTTTTATTTCTGTAGAATTGATAATAATGTTCCCATTTTAAACTTATGATTTTAGTAATTTGAGACCTCTCTGTTTCTTTTTAATCTAGCTAAAGGTTTGTCAATTTTGTTGTCATTTTAGAAGAACCAACTTTTGGTATCATTGATTTTCTTTATTGTTTTTCTATTCTCTATTTTATTTATCTCTGCTCTAATCTTTATTATTTCCTTTCTTCTGCTAATTTTGGTTA